CATTTTTTGGGGTGATATTTTATAATTTTTATAAGATCTGTGATTCATTTGATTGGTCACAGGAGACAAAAATCAGCTCTGATTGGAAGTCTTAAAGAACATTGTTCAGTCTGTAATCAAGTGGTTAATTAACAACATTATAAAAGTCCAAAAAATAAAATAAAATATTATTCTTTGTAACACAATGCAAGCAAAGTCCAAGGAAAAGACTCAATTAAGCTGTGCAAAAAGATGAAACCTAACTTTGTTTTTATTCCATTCTTTTTTTCTTTTTAAATTTTTTCTGCTAAGTCATGTTTTTACGCTACGAACACCAAAGCTTTTCAAAGAATTTGGTGAACATAAAGTGGGAACCCAACAAAGAGAGATGACCAAAGTTACATCCCATAACAAACTCCTAGAAATTTTTTTGGATTTTGTGATCCATTTTTATTTTTGGAAAGAATTGCCAAAAAAGTGAGAATTATTCAAGAAAATTGTTTAATTTCTAAGACTTGAAAATAACAAAAGATATTGTGGGTTATTATGACTATTGCGATTCGTGAATAATAATTTTTTTAATAATAAAATGATTGAAATATATATATATAATTATTTTACAAATAGCACGGCATGCATAAAAAGTGGAAACAGACAAAAATTCATGTGTGTCATATATAGTTATTTTAACAAGACTTGATTGAAATTTAAAGACCTTATGATTGAGCAACCGGTACAATCCTATCTCCTTCAACACTAACAACCCTAGAACCCCAAAAATATAAAAAATAAAAAACTTAATTGTGAAATGCAGCTCTTTTATGGGACATGTGACAAGGATTGAAAAAGATAAAAAGTTTAGGAATATTATAACTAATATTTCTCCTTTTTTTTTTCCCATTTGTAAAAGGCTATGTTACAAAATAAAAATGAATACCAATTATTGGAACAATGTAGTTAAATTTGGAATTCCAGTTGAAAACTCCCCTTTATTATATAATGGAAATGGTGATATATGGAACATATACTGGCTATATTATTGATGGATGCAGAACTATTTTGTCATCTTTTAATTTATGTTCTGTTATTTACATTTCTAGATTAGAAAATTTTATGGCGCATTCTTTAGCAGCACATGCTTTTACTCAGACTCATACGATGTACTGGGATACTATCCCACCAGATTTTATTACAGCTTATCTATAATATAATCACCTTCATTGGTGGCTTTCAAAAAATTAAATCATATAATCAACATATATTATATATAATCCTCATGAGATTTGTATAATCAAGCGCTTACCAAAAGATGAATATTGAAGGTGGATTTGGATATATAATATATATATATACGTGGCCTGGGCTTCTGCCATAATCTCTGCAATGGAGTTTCCTGAAACTGTACTGTACTGTGAAAAGTGAGAGCATAAAACAGGAATGGGTTGAAGATATGGAGGAATTTGGATCGTACGTTGGGGGGAATGAAGCCTGGTCCGAAATCATTCATTCCCAGATAACAAAACAGTTAAGTCCAGAGAATGGTCTCGAACCAGACAGCATTCCCCTCAACAATGTTGTCTGATCTTGAGAGAGAGAGAGAGGGAATGAATGAATGATAGTAATAATAGATATTATGGAATGGCCATGCATAGTTGTTGAATTGGTTTTTGATGGGCCCTTTATATATATATATATATATATATATACGTGAAGGAAGGGGCTGTTTTGTGTTGAAGTCAAATGATGAGTAGTAGTAGTATTGTATATATATTGTATGGTTTTTGTTCTTTTAATTACTTTTCTACATGTTCCAATCATTTTAAGGCTATGTTTAGCTGCACCAACTGCGCCCACTTTACCAAATCTTTTACTTCTTCCTTAGCTTTCTCACCTTAAAGGAAAACTACTATGTTTCCCAAAGTGTTTAATTGTAATATGTTTTTTAAAATTTGAATGTACAAGAAAACATAATGCTTAATTAAATGAAATATGAATTAATGGAGTCGAGGAGACGATGATGGCGACACAAGAAATGGTGGCTAGAGACTAGAGGGGCCGGGACGCATCAATGCCAGAAATAGTGGTTAGAGAAGGAGTTAATGATGCCCCATGGCCGGAGAGGGAGGTAATTCTGGATGTCTCTTGCATTAAATACAATCAAAAGTAAAATATAATAGAGATAATACAACTGACAACGTAACATCCTCATTGCGTCGATACAAACCAAAATCTTTTTGAATTATACACAGTATAAGAAACACTAATGTCAATTAATACCCTAAACTTTTCTATTATTTACTTAATATTCTTTAATTAATTCTAAATCTTAACTTTCAGCACCATTTTTCTCTTTTCCCCCACTCCTCCCCAAAATGAAAGGAAATGTCTAAAAGATTACGCCTAGCAGAAGCAAGAAAGAGTTGGAGTGGGGGGTATTGGTATTGGTATTGGTATTGGTATATGAAGAAAAAGTTGATAGAACAAAAAGGTTGATTAAATGATGGTTAACTGTGTAACATGGTGTTTGCCTGTTCCCACTTCACTTTCTAATATGCAAAAGTAAACCCACTTCAACAAATCTAAACTGCAATGTTTCTCATCATCTCTCTTTACTGCTTATATATATATATATATATATATATATATATATATATATATATATATATATGCTCTCAATATTAATCTAAACAAACTAATCACTTCTTTCATCTATTAATACCAAAAATAAAAAGTGTTATAGTATCTTTTCCTAAATACTGTCTACTGAACCATTGAGCTAAACTCGTGCGGTGAATGCCATCCAGAAAGAAATTCAAGATGTGAAGATTAAAGCTACAAGTGTTCAAAGTTACAAGTATTGAACTAGTTGCATAGTAAGGTGGAATAGAATTACTTTTTTTTTTTTTTTTTTGAAAAGGTTAAGAGTTAAAATTTAGTTGGAGGCATTAGTTATTATTTATTTTGTAAAGTTTGATATTAATGTATTAGTAATTAAATTAATTATTTTTTTAAGACTCTATTACAATGTAATATCTGTTCATGAATTAAGTACTTTTAAATATTAATACAACATATAATTTCCCTTAGTTATATCATTTTGCAACGTTGACCATGGTATAATAATTGATTAATTCTCCTGCCTTACACAACTCATAGCTAACTTGGTCAACCTAATTACTACCTCTAATAGCATCCTCAACAATTGCGATTTTTGATGACTTTTTGCAGATTTTCACTAGAAAAGAGAAGATGCAACAAAAAGGATGTTTAGAGCTTGTCATTAGAGTTTTATATAATAGCATCTTGATGTTCTTGAGGTTCTTGATGTTCTTGAACTACTATGTGTTTATTCTTGAGTCTGGACATGATTAGAGCTTGTACTTAGGATTTAATTGTCTTGTTCCTTGGTTTATTCTTGATGTTCAAGTCCCTATTGTTGTTGACGTGAATTGGAATGTGTTTGGACTTGAAAAACAGAAGATCTTACGCACCAGCTGGGCGCACAAGTTGCCACTAACGCGCGAGATCTGCACAGTTTTTTCTCCATGCAGGGCCCCACCTTTTCAGACCAAAAATCCATTTATCTTACAAGTATTCCATTTATTTTCTCTCCTCATCATCCTCTCTCCTCCGTATTATCTTTGTTTTCTCAATAACCCCATCAAAAACTACAGTGGGAATGCTCTAAGGCAATAACCAAATAATAAATTAAAAAAAAAAAAAAAAAGAAGAAGATGTAAAAGCATCCACTCCAACTAGCTGCAGCATGCCACCCAAAGTTGATAGACTAAATTAGGCAACTTGATTATCAAGAACTAAAAGTAAAAAAAAAAAAAAGTAAAAATGAAACTATATGGTATTATTGTATTAACTTTTATACATATAAACACCAAATTCAAAAATCAAAAGAAGAGATCAATTTTCAAACTACTAACTGTCAACATCATGCACAGATGCAAAATCTAAGACCATTACAGCACTAGAAAAATGCCCAATTTCTTCTGCATCTACCTACCTTGAGTTGAAAAGTTGACAAGTATATATATATATATATATATGAGTGTATTTTAATGATGTACTTTTGTATGTCAACTATGTATTATTGGATCACACCCTGTGCCTGCCAAAAAGGCCTCTCTAACTTCAACTCCCCAGTACCTTTCAGTACATATTCTAATAACAAAACAGTAGTATATTAGCTGACAAAGAATGAACAGCAATATTAAACTAACACAGAATAAACTGCAAATTCAAGATTTCAGACTTATGGCAAAATTAAAAGCCAGAAACCTTTTCCGACTAGTGATTTCTGCGCTCCATATATTTGGTCTCTAACCAAAAGGTCATTTTTTGCAGAATATATATGTACACAAGCGCTTCAGCATAACGTGCTTTACGCTCTAATGGCATCTTTCTCTTTTGCTTTACGAACTTCTCATAATGAGTCTTACCATAATTGTACACATAACCTAAGGTTTCTGCACCACTAAAGCACATCTCAATGGACCCTGCAACTCAGCTTTAATTTATACCCCCTTTTAAAATACGGGGGGCAAAGATCGTTGTAGGTTCTACTCCTCACTGGATATAGATTATAGAGGCACCCTATTGGTCGACTCACTAACTTTTCATCCCCATTCCCCGCAAGGAGTATTATCTTTATTTGCAATCCCAAATGTGGATGTTTATATCAATTATAAACACTATATTGTAGACGTTGATGCTCTTTACAACAGATAAAATTTACAAGAAAACGAATCCCTTTGGCCTTTACACTTCCATAAAATAAGTTTACTGAAATTAGGAGAAAAAAGGATTTCCCGCTTGTTAATTTAGAAAACTCACCATAGGCTCAAGATTGAACAGTAATATTGACTTTGATTTCTTGTGCACCCCTTGCCTGCCTAACAAATCTTTAACGCTTTATGTTGAAACTTGAAACTATTGTAACTTGTAGATCACGTTAACTTCGAAATAACAGTTTGAAGCTTCTCGATGAAAGGATATCAATAAATTACCTTTTTTAGTTCAGCCTTAGGTGGTGGTCCATCGTGGTAGAAGCTTGGCATTGGATTGGCCTTAAACACCAAACTCTTCCTCAGTTGCTTTACTGCTGCTTCACATTCTTCCTAAAACGTTAAAGATGTAACGAAAGCAAAAACGAGTAACATTACACCATTTCATATTTTGGATTAAAGAAAGAAATACCTTTGTCCTTGCTTTCCATTGAATTCTCTCAGCTTCTAAAGCTTGATGGTTCTCTTCCAATCTCGTGAAAAACTGAATTACCAAGAAAATGAACAGGCTAAGAATTTTAAATTCTCAACTAGATAGACATGTTTTGCTTGTCATGAACTCATGATCAGTACTATGTTGAATAGATTACTGTACCTGCTTTCTTCTCTCTGCTCGTTCAGTGCTTATTAAACATAAGTAAACAAATACAAGCGGGAAAAGATTTAATCGTCATCAAATCATTCAATATATGAATAAAAAATCCACCATGAATTAGCTGGATTGATAACCTAGTACATCTTATGTCATTTGATCAGTAAAGATACATATATACATCACAGGACTATATATGTGAAGATGCAAAATTTTATTCATAAGCTATATATAGATTTAGGTGGAACCAATACAATTATAGAAACTTAAAACATACAGAGATCAATATTAAGATCAAGATCAAGCAGAAAGTCCATATGTTTATTCATGAAAGCTTCTCAATGAGAATTTATATTAGTGATGTTCTTAACAATCCCAGTGGCTTCAATTCAAACAGTTACTGGGCATAGCTAAGAAAGTTCAAAATTTGATTCAATCCTCTAACCCATAATATGCTCCCCATCAATTCCCATTTCAAAACTACACTATAACCCTCAGAAAAAACTATTCCCAGCAAAATCTTGAAAATAAATGGAAAATCTGCATCTGAAAATAGAAGAAAAAAGACTGATTCAGGATCATACCAAATGCAGATCTGCACTAGTTTACAGCACGTCTTAATGCAAAGACTATTGAAAACAAGATCAGTTGAATTGATAATGCACACATAGATATGAGAGTTTGAATTCTAACTTATCAGAATTATCCAAAAGAAGACTGTTCTATTTTCTTCTTCAATGGTTACTGCATTTGTGGGTTTTGCCTTTGCCTTCCAATTTCCAATTTACAGAGCCACTACAGTCTCTCTTGCTCATATTTATATGTGCATAGCTTTTACTCTTTAATAATGAAAATAACATCAAAATTAAAAACTAAAAATCTATCAAAAAAAAAAAAACAAAAAAGAGAAAAAAAAAAATTCTTTTTGATCTCCAATTAATCAATTATACATCACTAGTTGTTTTAATCTTGTTAGCTCCCGAGCTCACATATTTGAGTGTATATTGTCCAATTAAATCATAGTTGAATTATAATTATAAAATAAATTCAATAGTAGGTCGATCTCACTGTAATAAGACTAGTGTATGTATGTATAATGTCAAATAAATTGAAACAAAGTAAAATTTTAGTTGTTCTGAAATGAAACTACAATGTATAAAATAAAACTAAATATGTTATATAAACAGAACTAATATTACACGGAACAGGTGCCATTTCTTTTAATACGATGCCATTTTGGACTGGTCCACAGTAAAATTTGCCACTAAAATTGTATAATTGAGGAATTTAAAACGTATTTTTCATTATACGTCCCTTCCGTATAATAGTTTAAGTGATTTATATTTTATCATGATCAATATCATTTTCAAGATGAAGATTTATGTAATTGCCTATGAATCCTTGAATTTGATGCTTTAGGTAGAAGAGTTAGATTGTCAAAACCAAAATTAAATCCCAACTAAATCATGATTAGAGAGGCAAATTAAAGCGATGTAAGGTGGACCATTCTTTGCTTAACACACTCTTTTGATAACCCTTTTGATAACCCCTCCACCCCCCCCCCCCCCCCACCCTCTATCTCTTAATCCATCTTTGTTACCAAATTTTCCAATTAATGTTTGTTTATTCTAATAACCTAATGTAGTAGCTCTTTAACAAGAAAGGGAAATGGAGAGGGAGATAGCTTTGTAGTTTTAGACTTTTTTGTTTTCTCCAAACTAATATCACACATTATATATATTTTGGATCACGACGTATCATGCACATGGTGAACTCTGGTCCAAATTATGTGCCTACAATTAACATATTATGTACCTTTAGTTAGCAAATTATGTACTTGTCGAATTTACATAATATATATTAACTGCAGGTATATAATATGTATGTGTAGGGAAAATTTCACAAGAAATTCGAAATAAATTATTTTTCAATAAATTTTATTTCACAAGAACCAACAAAAATTCAATGGATATGATACTCTCATACTCACACTTTTTCTAAAATTGATTCGCTTCCACACGATGGTGCTAGGAGAGTATAAAATTAAAGATTAAAAGTTAAAATGATAAAATTATTAAACTATTTTAATAATCTACTCTAAAATGACATAGGATTTAAAACTTACTAAAGCATCCCACTACTTAAAACAAATACTTCATAGTTTTTATAATATATGTGTGCCCACTAAAATATACTCCAATTTGCTAATGCATTATTCAGTCCAAGTATTATAGAATTGTCAGCCCAAAATGATGGATCTAGCAAGTTTGGCCCAATAGCTCATGATTCAATTGTTATACCATGGACCATGGTTCACCTTGTTTTGTAGATATTGATATAAAATGATATTCAAATTATATGTTTGTAATTAACATATTGGGGTGTTTGGTAAATAGCTGTTAGCTAATTGGGTAGTGAGTTTGATTAGTTGATAACATTAGATAATTGTATAAAGATGTTTGGTAAATTAGTTATTAAATGATAGTTGATTACACGCAAAATGACTTTCTCAAAAAACTTATCAAAAAAGTTACTTTGAGTAGTTTTTTGAATTTTAGTATTTTGGAGCAATAAGTTGTTACAAAAAGTTATATTAAACACTTATATTGGTTGTTTAACAAAGTCAAACAGTTAATAGTGGTCAAATAAGTCAAAATTGGTTGATAAGCTAACTTATGTTACCAAACAAGGTCATTATGTACCAACAATTAACATAGTATGTATTTGCAGTTAATATATTATGTATATGCAATTAGCATATTATATTCCTGCCATTAATAAATTATGTACTTATTATAACTACAATAATTAACTTATTACGTACCTACAATTATTAAATTATGTATTTATATTTAACATATTATGTATCTCAATTTACTTTTAGTCGTTTAGTACATAATTTGTTAACTGAAAATATATAATACGTCAACTACATGTACATAATCTAAATATTGTTTTGAACCTGGTCCACAAACCACAATGCAAGGCGAATCTTAGTCAACGGTATAATTTGTCCTCATGATTAAACTTAAAATAACATATTCAAGTTTGGCACAATAGCATCAAATTATATAGTAGACCATGATTCATTATGTGATATAGATTATGTACATTCAATTAATATATTATATATATATATATTCAATTAATAGACTATGCACTTGTAAATAATTAAATGTGTATAATATCTTAATTACATACACATAATTTGGATCGGGATCCAAAATGTGTAGGAGGACCATGGTCCATGATATAACTATTGAGTAAGAACCAGAGTCTACCATGTGTATTGTAAATTTTGATCTAGATTATACACATATAATTAATATATTATGTATATTTAAATAAACTGAACATAATATGTTATATAATACATTAACTTTAACAAGAAGTATATAATTTGTTAAGTCGAAGCTATAATCTAGACAGCATTCATAATTATTATGGTGTCAATAATAATATAACTATTGTAATATATATAATCTTTTAAGTTAGAAATAATTTAGACTGAATTCATAATGACTATGGTGGGTCCAAGTCAATAATATAACTATTGTAACATGTGGGGGTGGGGGTAAATCGGACCCAGATTTCAATAATAATAAGAAAAAAAAGTCTAACGGCTAGTTTATTAAATGAACTCAACGGCTAGTTTCTTTTGCCTGAAACACCTATCATATATTCTTCTCTTAAATGCATCCCTGCACTTACCAAATTCACTTCACACATCGCTTCTCATTTCTTTCTCTCTCTAAAATCTTGTGGTGAACGCAAATTCTCAGGCATCCAAGATGAATGATCTCATGACGAAATCGTTCACGAGCTACGTGGATCTGAAGAAAGAAGCCATGAAAGACCTGGAAGCCGGAGGAGGGGATCTGGAGATGGGGATGACGAAGATGGACTTGAACCTCTCGGCGTTCTTAGAGGAAGCCGAGAAGGTGAAGACGGAGATGAACTCGATCCGCGAGATCCTGGTGCGGTTGCAGGAATCCAACGAGGAGATCAAGGCTCTGCACAAGCCGGAAGCCCTAAAGTCGCTGCGCGACCGGATGAACGGCAACATTCTCGCGGTTCTGAAGAAGGCCAGGGCGATTAGGGCTGAGCTGGAGGAGATGGACCGCTCCAACGCGGTGAACCGGCGGTTATCGGGGTGTAAAGAGGGAACTCCAGTGGACCGGACCCGTTTGGCGGTGACGAATGGTCTGAGGAAGAAACTGAAGGAAATGATGATGGATTTCCAGGGGCTGAGGCAGAGGATGATGAGCGAGTACAAGGAAACCGTTGGCCGGAGATACTTCACCGTCACCGGAGAACAACCTAATGAAGCGGTGATTGAGAAGATCATCTCTAACGGAAACGGCGGTGAAGAATTTCTGTCCAGAGCAATTCAGGTATATTATAAAATCCAAACACAACTATTTGATTCACATCCTGTTCCATTATAACTTCATCAAATCTCATTAATCACATAATACAAACTCCTATTTTACACTTCAATCAAGTCTCGTTAATTGAATCTGATTAATACAAACTCCTATTTTACACTTCAATCAAGTCTCGTTAATTGAATCAGACACAAGAGAGTACTAATTGTTGTGATTTTACAGGAGCATGGGAGGGGGAAGGTGTTGGAGACAGTGGAGGAGATACAGGACAGGCATGAAGGGGCGAAGGAGATAGAGAGGAGCTTATTGGAGCTGCACCAGATATTCATGGACATGGCAGTAATGGTGGAAACGCAGGGGGAGCAACTGGATGACATCCACCATCACGTCATCAATGCTTCCCAGTATGTTAACGATGGAGCCAAGGATCTGAAGACAGCAAAGATGCATCAAAAGAGCAGCAGGAAGTGGATGTGCATTGGGATCTTCCTTCTCTTGATCATCATTCTTCTCATCATAATCCCAATTGCCACCAGCTTTGCCAAATCTTGAAACACTCACTTGCCTGTCTGTATTCTTTTATTCTTTTCTAGTCCTTGTCTTAGGACTCTATGGTGTATGGTATGGTTTGTGTAAGCCCCATTTCAAACTATATTTTGGTTTGTAATATGAATTTATCATGGAATGGTACTTCAATCTGCTTGTTGCATTATTCATTGTCTGTCAGGCTTTGGATGGGCTCTTGGGCTTATCAGATGACAATTTTTCTTACACTCGATCATTATATCGTGGACCATGGTCCAAAAACGGCGCCCGTATGGTTGATGTGTTAATTACAAAATGAAATTATAATGTATCTAAAATGTAATTGTCTCACAACTGTTATTCAATTTTTGTATTATGAAATCAAAACTGTAATTGAATTGAAATGAAATTATAGTTGTGTTGAAATAAAACCACAGTGTATATAAAATGAAACTGAATAACAGTTTTACATAATATTTGAGTTTATATTGTCCAATGAAATTGTAGTTATATTGAAATAATATTGTAGTTGTGTTGTAATGAAAGTGTGTTAATTACAAAATGAAATTACAATGTATCTAAAATGTAACTGTCTCACATATTATTTTTGTATTATCAAATGAAAATGTAATTGAATTGAAATGAAACTATAGTTGTGTTGAAATGAAACCGCATTGTATATAAAATGAAACTGAATAACAGTTTTACATGTATATTGTCCCATGAAACTGTAGTTATATTGAAATAATATTGTAGTTGTGTTGTAATGAAATTGTATTTTTGGTCCTATTATTATAGGGGTCATTCCAATTTTAGTCCACCATAATTATTTTTGCCACATTGCGTCCACTATTATTAAAAGTGTTCCAATTTTAGTCCACGAAAAATCTTAAAATGGACTAAAATTTGAACACTTTTAATAATAGTGGATGCAATGTGGCAAAAATAATTATGGTGGACTAAAATTGGAATGACCCATATAACAATAGGACCAAAAGTGTAATTCACTCTAAAATAAAACTGAATAACAGTTTCACATATTTGTATAATGTCGAATGAAACTGTAGCTATATCAAAATAAAACTGTAGATGTGTTGAAATGAAAATGTAGTGTATATAAAATGAAACTGAATATGATATATAAACAGATATTTACGGCACAAACGAGTGTCGTTTTTTCTCATTAAAAGAAACGGCACCGTTTTGGACTATAGTCCACAATGCTTTGTGGACTGCAGTCCATGGTATAATTTGCCGTAGTTTGACTGACCCATGGCTCTTCAGACTTGGTGACTTAAAAATTGGACAAGAAATCATATAGTCTATTTCCGACCTTACCTAACATATACCCAACTACTATCCATGCAACCCAATAAGCCAATAAACAAAGGTCTACAAGTCAAGCTACTCTACTCATTTGCTAAATTGGTACTACTTCTATTCGTACAGCCTACATCAAATAATATTCATAGCCAAAATTCTTCTTTAAAACATCTTGATGTCACTTGATCACAATAAAAATTTGATATAAGGTGTGGAGAAATCAAATCCTAACATCTTAACCTAAAGTAAAAATTTGATGTCACTTGATCACAATATCTTGATGTTATTTCAAAATTTTACCAGTAAGTAGTAGTGTGCGTGCAGTGGTATATATAAACCTATGACTTTAAGTTAGAATATCATACCTCATAAGCTTAATTCATAATCTCGTCAAATGTATCAAAGTTAAATATGTTATGTTCTGTATTATTTTCTTCAACATTTTCAAAAAAAAAAAAAGTATTATTTTCTTCAACAAGTATCTTTTTTATTTATTTATTTATTTATTTGCTATGTTTGTGTGTAATAAATCACAAACCACATAGGAAGGGTAAATAATTCTAAAAAAATCCTCTGCGACAAATTCAATCACTTCACATACGTGAATCATGCTCCAACAATTTTGGGACTATGAGTATCTTTTTCAATTAACTGAATTATGACCTTGTTTGGTAACATAATTAGCTTATCAGCTAAAATTGACTTATTTAACCACTATTAGTTGTTTAAGTACTTGGTTAAACACTCAATATAAGTGTTTGCTTAATTAACTTTGTGTAATAGCTTATTAAACAATTAAAAATAATTTTTTTTATCAACTTTTTAATAAAGTCATTTTGTATGTAATCATCTAACAGCTAATTTACCGAATATCTTTATAGTTTCTATAAACTATAGCTTGATCAGCACGTTAGAATCATAGTTAATACCGGCTAAATGAACGGACATGTCGAATTCATCATCCCTATTTGAGACAGAGAAAGAGAGGTTGGTGAGATTCCAAATAGCAAATTTCTTGGGCGAGAAGGGAAGGAAATAAAATAATCAAAGTCAACCACGTACCCTAAATCCAATTCATCAAAATTGTACTTTTATTAGCGTGTGATTTTTGTTCCACGTGGACTTGAATATAATTTTTCCAGAGTATTTGGCACGTTTAATGCTACTTAATTAGATGCATGAAGTCATCCACTTTAATGCGTCTCACCCACGACACAACTAATTCTCAGATCACTCGATCAGCTCTTTCCTCGTATTTTTCATGTCAAATAATTCTCTCCATAGTATTTCATAATTCATTTTCTAATTTAGAAATTAAGGTGGTGTTTGGTTGGACATATTGGCCCTGTTTGGTAAATGGTTGTTAGCTGTAAGCTGATTGGGTTAATTAGAAGGTATAACTAATTGATAACATTAGCTGATTGTAAAAAGGTGTTTGGTATAATTTCTTTTCTCAAAAAAACTAATTGAAAAAGTTACTTTGGGTAGCTTTTTAAATTTTAACATTTTGGAGTACAAAAAGTTAATTAACCAAACACTTATATTAATTTTTAAACCAAGTCAAACAACTAATAGTGATCAAATAAGGTAAAATTAACATATAAGCTAACTATCAAAGAGGACCATAGTGTCCTAACTATCAAATTTTATTCCAATTATTACACAAGCATCTTGGTGCATAGTAATTAAACTTCTGACTTCTCAATGCACTTCTTATACTACCTAGGGGTGTTAGCGAACAGAGCTTTCGGCAAACTACTTGTGTTTGTGTTCAATAAGCGTTCGTTTATTAAGGTAAACGAACATTAACAAACAAAATTTAGAGCTCGGTTAATAAACGAACAAACTCTGAACCATTGTAAGCTTGTTTGCTAAGCGATCGCGAACAAGCTAGCTCGTTTAGTATTCGCGAACAAGTTCGTTTAATGTTCGTTTAAGAATGTTCGTGAACATGTTCACAGACATATATATATACATACATATATATATACATACATATATATATATATATATATATATATATATATATATATATATCTTGTTCACGAACGAATTGTGATCGTGAACATGTGCATGTGTTTGTTTATTAAGTGTTCACGAACGTGCTTGTTAATGAACATGTTTGCGAACGTGTTGTTAACGTTAATGAACACGTTCGCGAACGTTAACAAATACTAATCAACGCTTAACAAACGAACACGGAACAGATTTTCAAAACCTTAACAAACGAACACGAGCACGAACAACCTTAGTTTGGAAACCATATAATTACAAATTCAACTCTCAGTGGACCATCAGGTAATGGTTGTAAGTTTTCTTCGTCACCCAAAAAAAAAAAAACAATTCTTAGGCAATAATAACTTTATTTTGATATTTTCCTACAATTTAAAAAGCTGTTATCTAATATTGTTTCTAAAAAATAATAGCAAAATTAAGTCAAGTAGTCAATAAAATAAAATAATAAATAATAGCAAAATGAAGTCAAGTAGTCAATTCAAAGTATTTGAAGTGGACTAAAGAAAAAACCTAGGAATTGAAGTATGTACGTAGTTTGTGATATCTATCCCATGCGGTACTATAATATGTCCGGCCACGCATTCCTTGCTCATTCCGGTGCTTGACCGGAGGCGTCAACTACACCTGAATTACAATTACTATACGCCCACACTTTATTACATCAATCACGTCGACTCATTATAACGACTCATATTGTTATAATTTTTTTTTAAATCACGAGATATACGTTATGAGTAGGCTTTAATTATATGAAATACTTTTAATAAACAAATTTTTGGTTTTCAAAAAAATAAACAATTTTTTGCTTTCAAAAAAGAAGAAGTTTTTGAATGCAAATTTTATAAATGATGTAACATAAGTCGAGAGAGCTTTCAAAATAAGTTGATAATAACATAATTTTTTAAAGGAATTGAATTAACGTACCATAACATCTCCAACACTTTTAGGGGGCGTTTGGTTCACAGAATGTTAAATTACCTTAGAGAATGTTAGATTGCTGGGATTGTTAGATTATTAGAAATGTTAAATTTCTGTGTTTGGTTTAAAACTAAAATATGTAAAAATAAAAAACAAAAAATAAAAAATAAAAATAAAACTAAAAAGACAACGGTAATAAGATAAATTGAGTTTTTTCCCAAAATGGTCCCTCGACTATCGCTTATTCTCAATTTTGCATTTCAACTTTTAATTGCACCCAATGTGGTCCCTTGACTTTTAAAAACTCGCCCAAATTGGTCCTCCGTTAGAAATTCCATCTATTGAGTGTTAAAATGAAGGGCATTTTCGTCCATTCACCTATTATATGCCTAATATACTCTAAAAAATAGTCGAGGGACCATTTTGGGTATAGTCGAAGGATCATTTTGAGAAAAAACTCATTTATTTATTTCCATTTTTTAACCCTATCAAATTATAATTTCTATACATTTTTTTTCTAAACGTACAAATTTTCTCCCTATCCCTATCAAGTTTTACAATAAATTTCGTAACATTCATAAATACTCATATATATATATATATATATATATATATATATATATATATATATATATATATATATATATAAAATCATATAATCATATTAAAACTTCAAAAGACAATCAATCACTATGTATTACATTAAATATTATTTTTATAGTTAAAATAATTTTTGTTTTTACGTACTTTGGTAAACAAGTTTAAATTTCAAATTTAAGTTTATTAACATTCATATATAAAATACAAACAAACTTCAAAATGACAAGAACTTGTAATATTGGTAAATGATGAGACTTTAGGTTTAAAATTGTTTGTTTTGTGCTAATTATTTTTGCATTTGGTTTATTTTACTTGTCCTTTAAGACA